GTACGCGTGTGTTTGTGTGTGCGTATGGGAGGAGAAGGAGGACTGAGAGTCAAGCTGCAATGCCTCCTTCTAAATGGGCCTTTATGGCGCTTCCGCGCAGGCGGGAGCATACCTAGCGAGTTGGCTGAGTCAAGCGTGCGCGTGATGAGTGACTATCGCGCCGACCACCTACACCCTCCCTCATCCCCGGTTTTATTGACTTTGTCTTTACATCGGAAACGGACTGGGAGTGGCGAGCGAGTGGGCAGATCCGCGGGTCTGCTTTAACTCCTGTTTTCGTTCGCGGTAGTTCGCTGCGTTGCTTCTGCTTGCTGTAGCCCTCTTGTTGCTTGTCCACCTTGCCTCAGTGTCTGCTTCGGCTTGCATCAGCGTTTGCTGCGGCTTGTTGGAGCACGTGGTGCCCATCGTCGAAATCGACGGAGGAACTGTCGTGTATGTGTGTTTGTGTGTGTGTGTGCAAGATGGTAGGCAGGAGTCGTCACAACAATAAACGCCAAGGCACAGTACCCACCACCCAAACCAGCATTTGATGAAAAGGATTATCGAGGGACTAAATATCATGTGAAAGGGGTGTTTTTATTGGGTGCACAGAAAGTAGTCAAGATAGCGGAAATACAGAAGGATCATATATCCAGCGAGGTGGCTACTTCATTCTGACTGCACCTTTCAGCACTCTTCATCTGTGGACTCACAAAAATTTGCTGAGCAAGCTAATTAAGGCCGATGCAATTGACAAAAATACCAACAAGGGAGCAGCACGCACGGAAAAGGGATTTTAGACTAGATCCGCCTATAAACCTATGCAGTCATTGCCACACAGTCCGGCAACTTGAACGGAATTAGTGTGGGAGGAGAATAAGGTCGATACTGCCTATAAAGTTCGGAGAGCGACCGATCGGGCGGTCGAAACAAAGATATCATAAACATCAAGGTGTACGTCGACATCGTAAGACGCCTTCGGTTATTATAGTGTTTACCGACGTCGAATGGATACTGTCATGTTACAAGATAATGCCCCTTCTCACCGATCAAAGGAGGTATGATTAAAATTTGCCTTACGACTATTATCTATTTTTAGGCCACAGCCGGCCTTTCTGCCCGCGACCTCCGAACAGTCCGGACGTCAATCCCATTGAAAACTTCGTTATGTTAATCAAGAAGAACCGGTACAAGCCAGTGAAATATATTTGAATGGGGCAACAGGAGCAGTTCGTGCTTATTAATTGTATAGACTAAACCACCACTGACAACTTGGTTGCCTCTATGTTCTCCCGACTTACTGCTGTTTTACATGCTTAAGGACACTCAACAAAATACTGACATACTACATTTTTGTTTTTGTTCCTTTATCTTATTTTCCTACACTGGTGTCAGGTTTAAAAAACTGACTTGTCTTACAGCACTTTTTTGATTTGACAGCTATCAATGAAAATTAGTTTTTAAATAATCAATGATACTTTAAACATTAAAATATGCCCCCTTTTACAGATTCATTTTTCATTTGACGCAGTATAATCTCGGGGTCCGTGGGGTAAAAGTTTTGCGAGCTACAACGGTTTTTGTGCAAAGTTGAACGTTTTGCATGAAATCCCCGCCCTACTGTGTATTTAGGCATATTTTATAGAAACAGTGCACCACGACAATTGCTAATGTACTCGTTTGGTACAAAGGTACATTTCCTCCAGAGACCGTACAGCGTACAAAGCCCCCGCTTTTGTCCGATAACCAAAGTTAAACAACGTTGGGCCACATTAGTACTGGCAGGGGTGACCGGCTGAGGAAATTGGATCACTAACGACACTCCTTAATATGGAACGCAACGATGAAAGCTTTTTTCTCTAAATAAAATGACAGAAGAAGTATCTTATGCACAGATGCCGCTCACAGCCTATCCTGAACCCCGCCCCACCTCCAAAAAGTCCCATCTTACAGTGAAGGCGGCTCATTTTTTCACACAAAAGCTATTTTAACTTAACGCTCAGTTTTAAGGGCCGATTACCATTCCGGTGGGCAGCTTTCTAAGTCACAGACTCCAGTATCATGAAATTTCAAGCGCAACGTTATCCTGTGTTGACTCAGGACACGCCTCTTCTTCTATTCCCAAAATATAGTAGTAAAACGGCTAGCTCAAACTGATGGGCTGGGGCAGAGCGCAATTTCAGATGCCACAAAAGATCTGTATCTACGTTCCACATACGTCTGAACCCTTTTCAGGTATGTTTAGACATTTCTTATAAACTGGAAGGCAGGCATCCCAAGAAATGTAATTTCAAGGAAAAGCGTCCTTTGAGAAAAGGAGTAATTTTATTCAGTAAATTTTCGACACTGGATCCCCAGGTCGTCGTCAGACTTGAGAAAAATGTGCAAATAACAGTTAGCATTTCAAAGTGGTGATACAGTTATATATTCATCTGGTGTGGGCGTTAAGTGGGAGTTGCAATTTGCGTAACATCGTGGTGGACATAATTAGCAGTCGCAATGGCTAATTGGCAACTGTAATTTGAGTCAGTCCAGGTCCCGAGTGTGGACGCTAATTGCGGTTCATGTTGGTCCATGTTTGTCGGTTGCAGTCTCTTTCACCTTCACTCCAGCTAACTCGATACGCCGGTGAATGCATGAATCATCGGAGTGCATGGCCTCAAAAAATCCTCGGCCTTTTTT